AAGCGGCTGAAAAACTTCGCAGTTTAAAAATATCGAGGTAAAATTAAAGTACCTACAAATCATCGCATGACGATAACATCGTAGACATGCGTTTTTCAGGCTTTAATAATTGTAAATGTTATACTCGCATAATCATTTGTGAGCGCAAGCTGGGTATAAGGATAATTTTACTTTCATATTTTTTATTAACTAATAAGCATTTGCTGAAAACGTAAAATGGAAACTTAAGCACAGAAAATTAATGCAACTTGTAGCCCTTAATAGAATTTTAAACTGACATTGTTAACTAACAAAAGTCATTAATAAATCATTTTTTATAAAGTTTCACTGATAATTTTTAATGAAAAGTATAATCTAAAAAAGAATAGAAAAAGAAACGTAAGTAATTGCATGACCTTATCTATAAAAAAATTGCTAATATGAGATTGCTTCTTCTCTTTTGTTAATCTGACTCGGGTAGAGTAGACTTTAAGGTACCCTTGTATTATGGCGAAGTTGTTGTTTGATTATCGCCAAGTTGTTGTTTCATTTATGGTAGTGAGTATTTTATGTTATGGAAACCCTATGTGAAGTAATCGGGTGCATGATTCTGGGAAATTTTGAATCATGGATATTTTGTAAGCGTTTTTGTGGTGTGTGTTAGTTTGATTCTTTAGACGGTAGAATGGCCGAATGTAGTAAGATTATTTGAAGTTTCTGTACGATTTTGAGCGAAAAGGGAAAAAAAGCTTTAATTGACTGGTGTGTAAATGAGGTTTACTTAGTAGCCATTATAAGTGTCCTGTATGTAGGAAGGATATGACTCGAACGTAAAAACCGTTTAGATGGATTTGAATGGGTTTGTAGGAAGAAAGGTTCAGATGGTCACTATGTGAAGCGTTCGATCAGAAAGAGTACCTGGTTTGAAAAAAAGTTATTTGAATATGATTGGTATTTTGATTTTCACGTGGCTCTGGGTGTACGAAGCGAACTCGAAAATCACGGTAAGTGAATATTTGCTTTTGGTAGCGCTTAAATGTATAACATGTTTTTTTTTTTTTATGTTATTTTATTGTTTGGTTTTAAAATGTATTTTATTGAGATTATGTATTTTTTGTTTGCTTATATTGTAGAATTTGGTGCTCCTTTGACTTTTTATGTGAAAATATATCGATGTGTACATGGACAAAGAAAAGAGAGTGAGCAATGCAAGTTTGTGCAATTCTGGGATTTTTTTTAAGTGAAAATAGGTCGACGTGTACATGGATAAAGTTAAAAGAGGTCGCAATGCCATTTTTGTGCAATGCGAGGAATTTTTTTTAAGTGAAAATAGGTCGACGTGTACATGGACAAAGTCAAAGGAGTGCGCAATGCCATTTTTGTGCAATTCGGGGACTTTTTTTAATTGAAAATAAGTCGATGTGTACATAGATACCGAGTTTGTGCAGTTGTTTGTCTTGTTATTTTGGCTTTGTGTAGCGGCGATTTTTGGCGCAAAAATTTCGTCTGTTACTTATTTAAAATTTTTACATTTCTCTATGTGTTAAAATTAGAAATTAATGATCTAAAACTGCAATAGTATATTACAGTACAAGTGACATTGACGTTTCACGCCCGCGTGTTTCGGATTTGCGCAATGCTTATGAGGTCCCACAAAATATTTGCAAATATTATGGGGTCCTGGGGGTCGCGAAAAAAATCTCAGTGACAAAAATGGGTTGCGACTGAAAAATGTTTAAGAAACCCTGCCTTATAGAGTTCCAAAAGAATAGGTAGAAAGATAGAGAACCAAAAGTTCTAAACCAAAGGGAATTTCATAGTTTCAGGAGAGAATGCGGACAGCCTTTTAATATTTAGTTTTAATTAGCTTAGTATTTGGTTTTAGTTTACGAGTATAAAAAACTACCTTTATTCAATTTTTGGTATTTATTAACATTTTGTATACTTTTCCTTGTTTAGTTTCTGAAGCACATTCAAAAATAACCTAAATTTAAATAAATGTGTATGCATTTTTCGAGTTTTGGAAAGGATAAGCCGGATGACCGTCTAGCAGCGGTAAAAGGGGTGCATGGAGAAAAAAAGGATGAGAACCAGTGCCTTGGATAGATGGCCTTAATTTGTTTTGCCATAATTCAAATAATCCAAACCAAATGCGGTTATTTTTCAACAAATATTTTGATTGGAGATTTGGGGGGGGGCGGGTAGCTAAAAAACACATAAGTAACTTAAAAATATGAAAAAAAAATAATGTGTGCCTTAAATGTATCAAACCGATTGTAGGATCTAACGGATACGTTAATCTTTAAAAATAAAAAATTAAAAAAAATTAGAGTACAATTAGAATGATTTTTAGAAAAGATTATTTTTTAAATAGTTAAATTTTTCCAAGATGTAAACAATCAGACAGTTGCAAACTACACATGTGCTACATGCACAGGAATTACAAACGAAAGTAGATATGCAATATTAAATCATTGCAAGCATCAAATTAACTGTAGCACATACTATTGACTAGACCGTCAATCTCGGAACGCCTGCTATTGTTAGCTGGGCGAGTTCAATATACGCAGGTGAGATGAATAGAAAGGAAAGGTTCCGGAATAGTTTCCAACGGAAATAAAGGCCACCAGCGGCCGAGCGGTAAAGTCGCTGACACTGGGGGGGGGGGGAAGGGGGTATAAAAGAGCTCTGTTGGCTGGATTCTTCATTTTCCGCACGGATCTGGAGCAGCATGTATCGTTACACCAATGCGGAGCTTTCCGACATACTTTTCGTGTATGGGGCTGCACAAGGAAAGGAATTAATTGCTCAAAGAATGTACAAGGAGCCATTTTACAGCGAGGTCTTACCTAAACTAGCTGTTCACAGACGAATGTGGTTCCAGCACGATGAAACCTCAGTTCACTTCTGCGGGAACGTCAGGAATCACCTGGACGCTGTCTACGGCCAGCTTTGGATAGGACGGGAAGGACCAGTTCCCTGGCCACAGCGTTCTCCTGATTTAATCTGCTTGGATTTTTTTTTTTTTTTTTTGTTTTTTTTTTTTTTTTTGTGTGTGTGTGTGTGATATACGTCAGGCCTCGTGAACGAGGTCCGGTCACATCTGCAGAAGATCTAGTTTTCCGCTTGTCTGTTGCTGCTGGACATGCGCTCGACATACCTGATGTCTTTTCTAAAGTCGGCCGATCCATGCGCCCCCACTGTGAATCTTATATTGCTGTTGGTGGCCGCTCTTTCAAGCACCTATTGTAAGCTGTGCTTTACGTGCTAGCACTTTAATGCGACATTACCACACATACATTCCTATACGAAACCTGCTTATTCAGGTCCCCTCCACCTGCCTTTACATTTTTGACATATAGATTTGAACCGCTCTGTATATCACCGGCTCCTATTTCTTCCACGTTTAAAAGTAAACTGAACTGAATTACAACGGCAGTGCTCTTTAATTCCTGTAGATAGCCACACCACAGGCATTTTGCTTCATACAGTAGAAAAATTTCCAGAAAGCCTGAATATGTTGTTTTATTCTCGCATTTAATAAACATTGCTCACCTTCACTTTTTCAACGAAAATCGCTTATTCGAATAAAATATGTTTGGACTGGAAGCCTAGTACTTGCCAGTTTTAAAAGTAAGATATTATATTATTTCTCAGTGCAACAGATGAGCGTTCAGCTGAAAATCATAGAAAAATTAGAGCTGTTTATGGCTAAATTATGAACTGACAGACTGCGATGACATGATGTCAAGAATTCCTATTAAATCTCTGATAATAGTTTTCAAAAATTCGGAAAAGTATTTGTTGGTAATCTGCCCGAGATAGTTAAAAATTTGCATTAAATCTGTCTTCAAATCTTGAAGGCCTTGATTCATGAAGCAGTCACTAAAGGATTAGAGTGTGAATTATTTGCACTTATTTGGGTGACGAACATAGTAGCAGGACAACTCAAAACGAAAAGGATGGGCAGTGTGCTTGGCTTCATTAAACGCTGTGCAGAATCTAGCTGGAGATAAAATTTGGTCTTTTCAATACTCACTTGAATGCAAGAAACAAACATTTCAGTGGGACCATACACGAGTCTTCAAACAATAAAAATTCAAAATTTTTGTTTCGGCCATAAAATCAGGTTTTCGGTTTTTCAAAAAGACACGGAGTTTTCGTTGGTTAATTTCTGACAAATTACTGCGAATACATGCTATGAATCTTGCCACGAATTTGACGCGACATTCAACTAAAAGAATAAAAATGATGAAAGACGGCACCTACCTATTCCATTACAACTCTTGGGACAATGATGGAGGAGTAACAAATTTCCTTCTGGACAAATTAAAGGGGAAAGAAGTCTTCAATTACTCCTCATCTAGTCCAGGCATAGGGATCAGTGTTTTTACTTGTTTCTTTACTGAAAAAAAAAAGAAGGAATGGGCGTTTTCGTGGTTTCCCCCATGTATAACGTGTATACGAGCCAGTTTCCCTTAGAAAGTTCTCCATGAAGGCATCCCTCCCCTTAGGTAGATATCCCTAGTGTGCTTTGCCGTATTCTCAATAAATCAAATAAAAAAGTATGTCCACGATAACGACTAGGGGAAATAAGGAGTGATAATGCTGTTCGAAAAGCAAGACAGACACTTTTATGAGGCGTAAACTGTAATAGCGGCACTTTCATATATATTTACCTATATATCGATATATATTTACCTAATATAACTAATATTTAATGAAAGTTTGATGTAATAAAACATTTTGACAGAATATTGGTCGTTGTGCCTTTGCTTTTGGATAAGCTTTATACAAAATAAAAGTTGCTCATTTGGCTCTATATTGAGGAAATACGGGCAGACTGCACAGATTTGATCGTTGATGTTCATTCGCTGCAGCTTGTAATATTTCAAGAAATCTTTAGAAAATATTGGGTTTCTAGATAATCAGATATTGTATTTGTCCGTGCATTATTGACGTTCTATATTCAGGCTTTTACAAATGTTTAGACTTCTTCATTAATTTTCCAACAGTTCCTGCGATGCAGTCCGAAGTAGATTACCACGAGTACTGCTCAGGAGGATTTGACCCGGATGACATCGTCATCAGCGGCGTAGCTGGCAGATTCCCTAATTGTGACACGGTTGGAGAATTGAAGGAAGCTTTGCTGACAAAGAAAGACCTAATGCTGTTTTCTGATGAGCGCTTTGAAAAAGGTGTGGTACTTTTTTATTCCAAAAATTTATTATTTTCATTTCGATGATAATGCCTAATATCTTAAACTGAGTGATATAATAAAGATATGTAATAGTTTTCAAAGTGACTTCAGTACGAATAACAAATTGTATATGGAGAATGTAGTATTAAATTAAAAATTGTTTATAAAGGATTTAAATTTTTAAATTGTATTTTTTGAAATTAAATATTTTAATGATTTCATATTAAAACTATTTTAATGATTCCACATAAAAGACCATATTAAACAGAAAGAAAAATAACAAGCACATAAAAATAGAAAAAAAAAAAAAATACCAGAGTTTGTCTGTTCTAAAGTTCGGCCGCTGGGGTTTAATGCGTAAATTTACTGTTTCTTTCGCGAACTACACGGGTAATTTTTTTTTTTTTTTTTTTTTGAAAAAAAAGTGTTGTAAAAAATTGCTGTTATAAACGGAAAAAATTGCTATTAACAAAATATAAATAATATTTTTATTCATGTTTGTATACTTTCCATTCATAACTATTTTATACAATATAGGACAATGATATGAGAAATAAAAAACATAATTCAATTACTGTGTACTAATATTTCTCGTGAATGTGAGATCTATAGAGTAGCCAAAAAGTTCCTTTTCACCTGAACTAAATGCGTGTAACAATGTGTAAGATGATAAGATATTTAAGATTTGAATCTTCCATTCTGATCACTGATATGGCAATAGTGCTCCTTACGGCGAATTTCAACGTGATTGACACATGACTACTTGGGCAGGAGAACAAAGTATGTGTCTTGACCAGTTCATTGTCTTCGTACTTGGTGAAGAATAATAGCATATAATAATGATTTCACTTTTGAGCAGCGCTTAGTGACAAGTGTGTGCGTCTATGAACGGAAACACAACAACCAAAATATGACAAAGGTGATGGATAGCTTAATGCTTAAATGGTTTAGTAAAGAGCCAGCAAGTCGTCAAACTTTGATCATTTGGAAGAACAAAGATTTAGGCGGGGATGACTGAAGAAGATATCCTTGGCCCACACTTCTTTGTGGGTTCTATGACCCAAGTTACTTATTTGAAGATGTTGAATGACTGCATTAATGACATTAATGACAAATTTGGGCATTAATGACAAGATTGTTTGCCAATAAGATGATGCTCCTGTCCACCTTGCACTTGCTGTTCGGGAATGCTTGAATGAACGGTTCCCTGGCTGGTTGGTAGGACGTGGGTCCCCAAATTCATCAGCCCCTTATCCTTGCTCACCTCAAAGTGCACACTTTTTATAACATCAGACAATGCAGTGTGGGGGAATCCTAAAATCATATGTCAGGAAGAAGTGATATGTGGAGAGTGATGCTGTGGGGGCAAGTGTGCTCAATGCCTTTCACCATGTGATACCGCAGCGGGTGAAAAGTAGGGCGTTTAGGTGTATCAAGCTGTGCACGTACGTTTTGAACAAATAACTGTAAGTATTATTAAAGTTACAATGAAATAACTGCACGCGTTAAGAGAATTTTTAGCCACCTTGTATAAAAGTTGGTAAGTGTCCTTGGATAATTCGAAGGTACCGTGTTCAGATTAAAGTGTTCTTTTAAGAAATCGAATGCCTTTCCATTTCTTTTCGAATCTACATTAAAATCTTCCACCAGTAATCAATACATCTGCATATACATATTGAACTCTTCAACGATTAGCAAACTTGACTCTCAGTATCTCATAAGCGCACTAAAGAGAAACAATTTTAAATCGGCTGAATTATCTAACAAATGAATGCATACCCTTGCCAATATAAAACGCGACTGTCCGTTAATTGTAATATCGACTATATATATATATATATCACCGGGCCCCGTTTCTTCTAAGGTTTAAGGTAAACTGAATTGAATCACAATCGGCAAGGCTATTTAGATTCCTGTAGGTAATCGCATCACTGGCTTTTTTATATCTGTTTTCAGAACGAATTTTCAGTATTGTGCTCATAAACGCTTTCTATTCGAAACCCTCCACCTGAATAGGTTCATTTTCAAACATCCAGATCTCAGCCATCGCTTTAAAATCGGATTGCTTTATTAATTCATATGCTATAAGATCATTATAATGTGCAACCAGACTTATCCTAGTGAGCCCTAGTGTGCCTATAGCCCTAGTGTGCTTTGCCATAATTAAATACACCCCACCACACCAGTCCTAGAAGATTGGCAAAGCTGAGGTTGTGCAATTCTCTGATGTTTTTAAAGTGAAAATAGATCGATATGTACATGGGCAAAGCCAATGCAGCGCGCAATGCCGAGGTTGTGTGCGATGCCGAGTTTGTGCAATTCTCTGATTTTTTTTAAGTGAAAATAGATCGATGTATACAAGGGCAAAGCCAATGCAGTGCGCGATGCCGAGTTTGTGCAATTCTCTGATGTTTTTTTAAGTGAAAATAGATCGACTTGCACATGGACAAAGCCAAGGCAGAGAGCAATGCCAAGTTCGTGCAAGTCTGTAATTTTTTTTAGTGAAAATAGATGGGTGTGTTCATCGACATCAAGTTTTTGCAATTCTTTGAAGTTTTTCGAGCGAATACAGATCGTTGTGCACATGGACAAAGCGAGGCTGTATGTTATACCGAGCTGTAATGTAACGTATTTTATATGCAATGTTTAATGTGTCCTTTGTGTATTTTAAATTTGCATTGTTGTTTTAATTGCAAATTATACTTTAGACATCTTTTTACTTCCTTGTACGAAGTAAAAAGGAAGTACTGTAATCGCGAAAAGTTTCAGGCAGCATATTTCAACGAAAATATCCATTTTGGACCGCTATCGAATGCAATTTAACGATGTTTTTGCGTGATAACTGTACGTAAGGACAGAATAAAATACTATTTTCTTCCAAAAAAATTATAAAACTGCTTTAAAATGAATTTTGAGGAGAATTTTTCGTGGCGTCTGTACGTACGTATCTCGCATAACTCAAAAACGAGTAGCTTCAGAACGTTGAAATTTTCTATATAGGACTGCTATAACATGTAGATGTGCACCGCGTATTTTGGTTGCAATCGGCCGCACCAAACGTATATAAATATATTTATATATATATCCACTCTGTTACCCGGCTCAGTGATCTCAGTTTTCTTTACTCTTCTGTTTGTAAATTGTACATTTTTTGCTTTAAAAAATTATTGAATTATGTTTTTCTTATCTTCCGGTTAAGGTTTTTATGCCTTTAGTAAATCTCTATGCAATATTTTTAGAAATTATCAACATTTTAAAGTTGTTTAAATGCCGTTGCCTAATAATTTTTTTGATGGCGGCATTGCTTGTTTATATTTGAAACAGCAGGATAGTGGATTTGGTTGCTAATCTAGAGAAAGCTAGCTTCGCAACAACAAGAAACGCTTTCTTATTATTGGCGAATAATCATGCTTTATCCTTTCTGGAATTTTTTCGAGGAAATATTTGTTTAAGATTTAACTTCGTAATTTTTAATACAGATATTTTGAGTTTTTATGTATTTTTGCCTTGTCGCGAAGTGAGAACTGAATTAATTGAATGAGAAATACTAATCGTCTGTGAAAAAACTGTTTTTTTTTTTTTGGTTTGTTTTTGTTTTGTTTCGTTTTGTTTTGCTTAATTTCTTTTATACATCGTTCTAGCTTTATTAGTGTTTGAATAGAACTGTGGCAACGTTAGATAATTCTTTAAATGATGTACTTTTGTGCATTTTGAGTTATAATATGAACGCAATATAATACTGTTAAGCGAACCTAGCGGCAGAATGTCGCTATGGTAAACAAATAGAGTGAATTTTAAAGAATACATCTATTCTATTGCGGTTTATGCGCTGTCGGCGAAGTAGATTTAATTCAATCCAATACGTTTAAATGAAATGCAAGAAAAAATGGGTATAATTTAATATTCCGTACAAGGAAGTCATGTGGTGTACACATCAGATTTTTTTATTGTATTTTTAACTGTTTGGTTTTGATATGTTGATAATGCTTTCCGAAAAATATCGATAATCCGACGATCTACTCAGTAGTAGCAAAACTGTTAACTTTGACCCTATAAATAACTTTTACTTTTTTTATTTTAATACGTAGTATTTGCTATCTCAATTGCACTTGATAATATGAGTTCATTGATAATATGTATGTGTGAAGCATTGCTTAGTGTTTCAAATTTGTCGTGTTTATTTTCTTTCATTGTGAGAAATAAGATTTTTTTTTTTAATTTGTAGAATGTATAGAATTCTAGTATGACTATAGAATATGACTTGATTTAAGAATTTAAGAAACAGTGATATGAAAGCTGTGCATGATGATGATCTGCAATAAAATATTATTATTTTAATATTAATGTAAGTTTTTAAAATTTTTAGAAAATAATGAAGATTGTCTACTTACTAGTACCTAAGGGATTGTGTCTTTACGTAGCAACAAGGTAATTTGTAAAAATGATAATATTAAAATGTTCGATAATATGAATTTAAATTTGTTGGCAACTACTACGGTAAAAGAGAAAAAAAAGAGGGAAATAGTTATTGATTCGAGCGTATTGGCAACAGAGAGAAACCAGACGAAAACCGTAGAACTAGCATTTTTTTAAGAACTTGAACTTGATTTTTGGTAGTTTTTGAATCGGCTGTAATCGGATATTGTTCTTTAAATGATTATCCTTTTAAACTAAAAATGTAAATATTATGTCAATATAAAACAAAACAAAACAAAAAAAAATCAAAATCATGTGTATGATTTATTTTACGTTGAATCATTCACAAAAGATGTTAGTATTTTTCTATTAGCTATCCGGAATATAATCCAGCATCAAAAAAATCATCAAAGGGGTAAGTCTTGAAATTTATTAAGCCCTTATACTAATAGATTTAACGCAAATTGGATTATATACTATTTTATTTAAAAGACATGCAATAGTTTGCAACATTCTGATATACTTGCCGCAATATAATTTAATAATAAATCCTTTTTTTTTTTTGTATAAATTTAAAGCTTAAAATCTTTGAAAATACTGAGCTGTATGAAATACAAGTAGAGAGTCTGCGACGTTGTTTACCGTTTTTAAAACTGGTACAATTCACTTACTGCATTATTATTACTTAAAATGTAAAGATTTATTATATTATTTCTATATCTATAGAGAATACATTGTGACGTCACAATTTTAGTCCCACCCTTTTATGGACGCCACTTAACCTTCGCAACCTTGTTTATGCAACGTATTCTGAGATTTTACTGGCGATTTTCAAAAAACCGAAGTATGTTGAATATATATGGGACATTATTAAAAACACTAAGCTTAATAAATATTCTGTTTCGAAAGAAAGACGAACCTTGAATGTTTAATTTTTACTTTTCTTTAAATGTTTTCAAAGAAAGTAAAAATAAACGAATTCAGCTTTGGGTTACTGGATTCGGAGATTATAAACTAAGTCAACTTTTGCAGCAAATGAAAAGTCTAGCCACAGACGATTTTCCAGAAAAAGTGCTAAAATCTTTATGGTTGGATAAGATGCCTGATTTTGTAAAGAATATTCTTCTCGTCAGTGAAGACATTTAGAGAAATTGGCCACGGTGGCCGAGAAAATTCTTGAGATCTGGAAAAGAAGTTTATGCTGTTTTGCCAAACGTTAATGATGCAATCGAATGCAATTTAACGATATTTTTGCGTGACATCTGTACGTAAGACAGGATAAAGGACTCTTTTCCCCCAAAAAAATTGTAAAACTAATTTAAAATAAATTCTGAAGAGAATTCTTCGGGCGTCTGTGCTTACGTACGTATACGTATCACGCATAACTCAAAAACGAGTAGCCTCAGAACTTTTAAATTTTTTATATAGGACCGCTATAAAATGTAGACGTGCACCTCGTATTTTGGTTGCAATCGACCGCACCAAAAGTATATATGTATATGCACTCTATTACTCGGCTCAGTGAGCTCAGTTTCTTTATTCTTATGTGTTTGTAAATTGTGCATTTTTTGCTTTAAAAAATGATTGAATTATGTTGTTCTAGTTAAGATTTTTATGCCTTTAGTTAACCTGCATGCAAAAATTGTGGAATTATCAACAATTTAAAACTTTTTTAAGAGCGGCTAAGCCTAATTTTTGATTACCATGGAAGCCATTACGTTTGAAACTTAGCAGAATAGTGGATTTGTTTGCCAATCTAGAGAACCTAAGCTTCGCAACAACAAAGTAACGTCTTCTTTTATTATTGTGAATTAAATTATGCATAATTCATTCTGGAATTATCATTTAAGTTATTAGCTTGTTTTTGCGTAGAAGCTGTAATTTTTATTGTAAGAATTGTTTTTATTTATTTATTATTTTTTAACTGCACTTGGTGGTTTTCTATATCTCAAATTTTAATGAATATATTTTGGATTTTTATATATTTTTGCCTTGCCGCGAAGTGAGAACTGAATTAATTAAGCGCATGAGCATTAGGTAAGCGCCGCTAAATCGTCTGTGAAAAACTGTTTCTTTTTTATTTGTTTACTTTCTTCTATACATCGTTTTAGATTTATTATAGTATTTAAATAGAACTAGTGGTAATTTTTCAGATGATGTAATTTTGGTACACTCTGAGTTATAAAATGAATGAGATGTAATACTGTTAAGTGAACCTAGCGCCGATGTGTCGCTATGGTAAATAAATATAGTGAACTTTAAAGAGTGCATTTATTCTATTGTAGTTTATGCACTATCCATGAAGTAGATTTAATTCAAAATTCGTTAACTGTTAATTCAAAAGGTTTAACTAAAATGCAGGAAAATTGCGTATCATTTAATATTCCATACAAGGAAGTCATGTGGTGTATACACATCAGATTTTTTCATTTGAAATTTGGTGATCGTTGTCGACCTGAGAAATGTTATTTGCCATGTGCTTGGCGAGAGAAGTCGTAAAACTCCATATCGCAAACAGGATTAGCGGCTACTACTGTTGCTGGTATCAACGACAGCCGCAAGTTTCGTTTATTTGTGAAGGATAAAAACACAGGACTGCCTTTCTCAGTACTGAGGATTCATAACAGGTGTACTTATACAAGTTTTAAAATACGAATGCCAAATTACAGTTTTCAAATTTTGTATAATTTTTTAATGTTTTTAATTCTTTTGTCTAGCTGCCAGAGACTTGTCGATTAAGCATTTTTTCAGTTTTCAGGTATTTTTAATGGTATCTTCTTGAGAAGATTGAATCTAAATTTTCCAAATAGCAGTTTTCCTTCCCTCATTTTTTTTTTTTTCCATTTACTCTTTCACAATGATCTCTAATTTATTTGCATGTATTTATTTCCTATAATTAAAAAAGGTATTCGTCACTTTCGATTAACTGCATCTAATACAGATTATTTTTCATTATTTTTTAAGACTAATCTTTATACGGCTTATGAAAAATATTACAACGTTTTCAGAAATGATCTATGAATATGAAAAATATTATAAAATTTTCAGGAACGATCCATGATTATGAGAAACATTGTAACATTTTCAGAAATGATACATGATTATGAAAAATATTATACCATTTTCAGAAGTAACACTGATTATGAAAAATTTTATAACATGCACGTAACAACTCAAAGTCCTTGGAAAATTAGACTGTCGAATAAAGCTCTCTGTAGTTTTGTATTTTGTATTATTTAATAACATAAATGAAATTTATATGTAGGTGGTGTGTAAAATATATGGAAGAAAATACATAAATTGTGATTAAATAAATGACTGGCGATATGTTGTCATTATACGGAAAAAACACAGAGTAATTAGTATCAATTATATAATATGTTTACGAAAGAATTATAATATAATTAGTATTTTGATGGACAGATAATAATACTGAAGAGAGACTTGTTTTTATAATTTATATTAAAATCTTTTAAAGGAAGTGAATTAATTAAAAATTAAATTAAGTAAATTTGACAACATCTTAAAAGCAATCTAATTTTTTTTCCTTTCTAAATTTAACGCATATATTAAAAGATAAGGGTCTAAGATATCACCACTGTATTAATATTAACCATAATGCTTAGAAATCCATATTTATAATGATTTTATAAGGTATCCCCCCCTTCTTTCCACGTTCCTTCATTCTGTAACTGGATAGTACGTCCGACGCTGTCCAGAGTTTGAATCCCGGCGAGCATAACGGATTTCTTCGATTTCCTTGCATTGAAAAATTCTAAAAGACTCTACAAATGGCTCTCGAACTAAAAGATGGTGGACGATAATTCGTCACCATGAGGATTTGGCAACTGCGCTTTCTCAACCCAGTCGCCTTGTACAAGGGGAGTATAAAAGGTATTTTCTTCCTCCTTTTCTGCGTGCCTTCGTAGTGTAATTGGAAGAACGTATGGCGCATTATTGCGAGGTCTGGAATTCGAATTCCAGGGAATTCCAACACATATTTTCACGTCTTCTGCATCTATAAATGCAATGACTCTACAATTCTTTGTCTCCAATAATAATTCTGGGTAATTTAACGTAATACCAAGACAACTGTGATGAATTTAAATGTATTGGTCACCAGAAACTACTATTGTATTACACTAAAATATTATAATTGCTGAAATAAGTAATTTGATATTTACGTCTCGTATTAAATGTGTACGAAAATAGATATATTTGCATAATCATTTAAATTTCGGTTTTTTTTTTTTTTTTTTTAATTTCAGGAACTTGAAAAAAAAGGGGGGATTTCAAGACTGGTGTATTTATTACTTTTATCAATAAATTTAGTGAACACATTTATTCCATTTTCACAGGGGCTCGTGGTATGCCACACTCTTCAGTAGGCCTTGTAAAAAATCTGGACAAATTCGATGCTCAATTTTTTCATTTGACTAACTCAACAGCCGATTATGTGGAACCTCAGCAAAGGAAAGTTTTAGAAGTTACTTACGAAGCTATTTTTGACTCAGGTAACATATAATTTAATATTTATTACCCGTGTTTTATCCTATAACGGTATCCTATTAATCGGTTTTCACCCTCTAAATGTTGGGCTATCTTAAAATAGCAGAAATAGCCTTGTGTTAGAAAAGTAAGAAACGGAGATTTAGCCATAGTTTGACTGCGTTCCAAAATTGAGCTCCTACAGCTAGGAGTTCATATGTGTTTGTCATAAATTTAAAGATAAAATGTTAAGGTGTTTTTAAAATTTTTAATAAGAATTTAGTATTAGTTAGTATCAGTAATCTCAATACCATTAGCAGATTTTGAAATGTTTAAATCTAGACCGACATATGCTTACATATGACATCCTTTGTATATAGATTCAAGAATGTAGCCATTGTCAGTTCAGATCTTCAATTCATCTTGCTAGAACCATTAATGCTATTGTAAATCCAGCGAATGCTAAGTACACTGCGGGGGGGGGGGAGGGGGGAGAAAGAAAGAGAGGGGGGCAGTTCTATATCTTCCGTTCTACGGAGCCGATTGACGAAATTTAACTTGCATTTTTCATGTCTCGAAAGTGCGACTTAGGATATGTATTAAATTTATATATGTCATTGTTCTAATATAGGTATTTTGACACAAAATCGGACCTTTTTCTGAAATAATATACCAATTTTTTCCCATATTTCGATTCTACACTCAAATTACGTCAAACATCCAGTTTTGTGAAAATCGCACGAGTAATTTAAAAAAATTAGCTCTCAAAATTTTAGCTCCTTACTGTTAATTGAGTTTGGTATATATTTATTAATCTCTCTTTTTTTATTAAACACATTTGATTCTTTCCTTCACACTTCGAAATTCATGTTCATTCCAAATAAAATTCGCCCATTTTTTTTTGTGCCCATTTTTGTGTATTTTTAAATAATTTTTATAAATTTTTCAAAAACATTTTGAATTATAATCTATAAAAGTTTTACCATCATCTTAAAGTAGACCTATTTCTAAGCATACCTGCAAAAAAATTACAATTTTTTATTCAATATTTCCGAAGATATACTTGAATTCATATATTGGCGCGTTTTGAAATTTGGTATATTTGTTGAAAGCGATGAAACGTTAGATGTAATTTAAACACTTTGCTAAACTTATTTGGAAGTAGAAACGCTGTGATGGTATTGCAACGCACCACCTTTTTGTTGATTTTAAGACTGCATACGATTCAGTAAACAGAAAATATTTAATTGAAGCTATGAGAGAATTTTCAATGCCTGAAAAACATATAAATTTAGTCACCATTACTCTTACTGAGACAAAACTTAGGGTTAAAATCCAGAATAATCTTTCTGAGCCTATTGTTGTTTCAAATGGGCTCAGACAGAGTGATGCACTGGCCTGCTTACTTTTTAACCTTGCCCTCCAAAAAATCATAAAAGGCTCCAACATCAATACTCGTAGAACTATCTTTAACAAGTCTGTTCAGATTTTTGCGTTTGCTGACGATATTGACATAGTCGCACGCATTCCCGAGTTACTTAGAGAGGCTTTTACATCTCTAGAAGCTGCAGCCAGCAAAATGCATCTAGCAATCAACCAAAATAAAACTAACTACATGCCATGCGGTAATAACAGCAGCCCCTATTTTGAAATTGGGAATTAGAATCTCTTAGCAAATTTAAATATTTAGGATCAGAGGTTAATACTCTCAATGAGTTAATGCCCGAGATCCGAAGTAGAGTCACAGATGCTAACCGATGTTTTTTCGGTCTCAAAAAATACTCGAAGTCTAACTTAACTAGCAAGAAAAACGAAGATTTTAATTTTAAAAAGCTTAATCAGGCCCATTCTTACATACTCTGCTGAGACCTGGGCAATGACAGAAAAAGCAAAAAATATCAATTCTGTCTTTGAAAGAAAAATTTTGAGAAGTATTTTTGGTGGCATAAAATTAACAATATCTGGCGAAGAAGAACTGACTCTGAACTCTGTAAATCCTTTGAAGAAATAGATATCGTAAAATATATAAGGATTCAGAAAATTAAATGGGCAGGAAACCTATGCCGAATGGATGAAAATCGGTAACTAAAAAAGATCTTCTCGGCCAGACCATTCGACACCTGAAAAAGAGGGAGACCTAAATTTCGGTGGCTCGACTGTTTGGAAACAGACTTGAGAATTTTAAAAATTATCAATTGGATGTCCATGGCCATAGATAGAAGAGCTTGGAATTCGATTCTGAGGAAGGCGAGGGCCATCCTGTGTTGTCAGGCCATTGAAGAAGAAGAAGAAACGCTGTGACTTTCTTTTACGCTCATGCACAATGTAAAAAGGTAGGAGCGAGGTGCTTTTTTTCCTCTCCGGCATAACGGAAGGGAAATGAAAATTAGTTGCCATATATTCTCCAAGTAAATTATTCATGGCCAAACCTAAAAAATTTCGCCAAGATAAATTTTTGAATTTCTCCGTAAATTTCGCACCAAATTTTACAACATTTAATATGTAGGCATAATTTTGAGTCGTAGAATCGAAATATGCAAAAAAATTGGTATGTTATTTCAGAAAAAGTACGATTTTGTGTCAAAATACCTATGTTAGAACAATGGTATATATAAAGCTAATATATATCCTAAGTCGTGCTTTCGAGACATGAAAAACGCAATTTGAATTTTGTCAATCGGCCAGGTAGAACGGGAGATATAGAGCTGTCCCCCTTTTTTTCTCGTAGTGTACGTTAAAATCGCACATATTATAATCTTTTTCAGAATTCTTAAATTGCCAAAGTTTCTATTAACATTTCTTGGAAGGTACAGATTCAAAAATGATTCTCATACTTCCGCACATTTAACATACTAATTCAATTGCTATTTTTGATAGATCACTTAGAATATCAAAAGTTAGGGAAAAGTTACTTTTTATGCCAATCGAAGAGATCACTCGCATTTCTTTTAGACTTGAGAAGAAGTTTCAAACAAAAGCCAGAAAAGGAGAAACATTAAAATTTAAAAAAAAAAAAAAAAAAAAATTGAAAATTAAAATATACTTTAAAAATTATAACTAAATCCATATCTTCAGTACTGAAAGCAATTGAAGTTGAGCCCGCATTTTTTGAGATAGAATAAGGCGTTCTGCTGGAGCAATTTGCCTCTTATCTTTTAAATAAAGTTCAAATTATTAAAATTCATTTCTGAAAGGATGGCTGGGAGAGCAGCTAATAAGAAATTTTAGATTTACCTTTGCCAAAGAGGACCACGATGAGAGATGTTATACTACATCCCATACAATTTTGGAGAAATTCTTTCTTGGTATTCAGATTTCAACTGATTTGCGTCTACGCTTAACAACATAGCAACTTAATTTTAAGGTTCTTATGGAAATTTTAATCATCAAATTATACCTTTAATACTTTAATAAATGCCATTTTTATATTTATGTAAATGTTTTCTTTTATGAAAAAATTCTTTTCTTTTTTTTATTAGGATATGATGCGACGTCTTTGAGAGGAGCCAATATCGGCGTTTACAATGCGACAACCTGTGATGATGCAAAAGAAATCATGATAAATCAAGGGGAACTAAAAAAAAATATATGTATAAGTATAGGACGATACATGAATGCGAACAGAATTTCATTCGCCTTTGACTTTCATGGTAAGTGCTACATGTTTAAAATATTATATCCGTTACATGTTTAAAATATATATGAGTAGGTTATTATGTAAGATAAAATATCTAGTCTTCGACTTGGTATTATAATCGCCGATATTAAATCTCCACGCTGGTTAAGTTAAGCCAACTTCACGTTAAATTTATTTGTGCAGCCTTCGGCTGATAGTTTACTTGAATTTAAATTGATATTTGATTCCTCATTTAAGTTACCTTGCCATAAGTGCTGGCTATGCTTGATCTGTTGCCTAAACTCCAGATCAAATCTGTTGAATTATGAGCTAAAACTGCATACTATCGCGAAAGTTCTTTTCCCGCTTTATTGAATATATTACGAAATGAAAAACGTCAGTCCTGCAAACGTTAAAATCCTGCAAATATATTTAATGAGAAAGATTTATTAGTAAATAAATACATACATACATAATAAATACATTTATTCATAGTTTAATTACATATTTAATCAGGTTTTGCTTACAAACCATTTTATTACCAGTGTATGAAGCGTTTCGTATAAATAATAAGTTAGAATGTTTGCCTGTTTCACAGATTCGGATTTTTATTAAATGCCATTCCAAAATACAGTATGAAATATGTATCTAGGATCTCTATTTAAACAGCTGTAGACTGTCAATACACCATTACAAGGTTTCATGCTGTACAAAGGATATTTACACATTTTTAGAACGATTTGGATAAAGGATAAAAATGCGCCTGTTTCGGAACAAATATTGCTGGCAACAGTTATTATTTGAAATGAGAAATACCATCTGCTAATATGATGGAAAATTACGTGTTATTTAAAATAAACTTTTCATATTTAATGTTTTAAATGGGAGACTTTCTTATAATAGATTTAATGCAAATTTATTTTCTCGTTGAATGATAACATATTCAATTGATAATATTTCAAATATATTCAAATGATAATATTTCAACTCTCATTGAATGATGAATAATGAATAATATATTCATTTCTCATTAAATATATTATTCATTATCTCTTCACTATTGTACTTTAAATTTCTTTCAACGAATTTTGAAAATATACAAGGTGTCCATAATTTAATCACCGAATAACAAAAATTAAATTTACTAAGTACCAGAAATAACTTATATCGATATAATCTATAGATCAAGGAGTTTTGTTTCTTCTAAATTATGGGAATGGCAACAGGGAGCATGTTTGTTTGCAGACAAAATGGTACATACATTGGTACAAAATGGTACATACATTACCAGAAAATAAAATATCCAGCCCGTTCTTATTCAATTTAAAAATATTACATATTTATTTTCGTACCCTGTTAATGTAGAATTTGTAAACTATGCCACATAAAGCCGCTCTCATCAGAATTCTTTACTCGACAAGGAAATAAGATATTCTTGGAACAATAGCATTGAAAATTAGCTGGTATTCACATGCAACATCTTTTTCGGCAGATTTTATTTCACTTGAAACGTTTAATTTATTGAAGCCATGTCTTATTTTAAACTTGTGAAACCTTCATCTGAAAACAAACAGATATTTTATAAGCTATTTTCTCCCTTCTTCCACATGCCTTCGGGGTGCAACGGTAGCACACTCAGAGCGTATTCGAGAGGTCCAGGTTCGAATCCCTATTCGAGGGCCACTGTAGAGCCATTAGGTTATTTTAAAGCAGAGGGCATGAAAAATGAGCATTTTTCTTGCTAAGACTCGAACCTCGACCTCTCGAATACGCGTCGACTGTGCTACCCTTACACCACGAAGACATGGTGGAAGAAGGGAGAAAATACCTTATAACCTTTTGGAAAATTCGCTTGTTGGGAAAATTACTTAGCTTCTTTTTTTAGCTTAGGTCACGCTATAGGCTTACCTTCAGATTTCTCTGCACTGAATCATTTAAACAGCGCACTAATATGCAGCGTAGAGCGTAGAGTCTTTTAATATTCACCAAGTATTGATACTTTTAGTTTTCTAGTTTTTCTTTCTTGAATAACACAATATCCAGTATTTCTTTTTCATAATATTTCTATTTTCACTTTTTAACAATCAATTATTAATAGCCAATTTCTGGTAAATTTTAAAGTCACTTGTTTCCGTTTTATTCCGTTATCATTATTTTTATAAAATTTTAAAAACATTTTAAATAAATAACGATATATAAACCGAAAGTTTTAAACAAAGAACTAACTGAAAATACATGAAGCCTAGTCTTACCGAATGAAATGCTAGAAGCGCTATTCATAAAGCAGTGACACAGGACCAAGATTATTGGACATGTTAAACCAAAGGATGCCAGATTATTGGACTTTTAATGGAAATCATTCCAAAGTTTAATTGCCTGAAAGATGCGGTAATTAAACGTCTTCTAATAATGCAGGTTTATTACCAAGTCTCCTAAAAAGTGCCGCGAGGAGAATTTTGTTGTTGAGAGAAGATGTAAATTGTCTATTCTAAGATTGCGTGAAGTTAATCGACACCTCAAAGGTGTCTTACTGTTTCATAGCAGTTTCCATCTACCAGTCTAAAATCACTGCTGATTGACGAGATCTAAAATCTTTCATTTACTTTCTTTATTTTAAACGTGCATAGCTCATCATCAGAAACAAATAAGTCATTATTTGTTTGTTTCTACACTTGTTGAATTTGTTGTTGAGTTGTTGGAACTTATATAATTTTACCTATAATAACATTTTACAACAGCTGTTATTTTTGTGTCGTTAGCATTACGATTCATTGATGAAATCAGTTCCATGTAATCCAACAACAAATATTCTTGCATGAAATATCTGTTTATTTTTTAAATAAAAATGTTTCAATAAACTATTTCTCGACAGTCACCCAAAATTTAGGAGATTGAAACAAAACCCTACTATATGTCTTCCTTGTTTATCTCGAGGATGAAATTTCTCAAATGGAATTGTAAGGTTTATTCTACGTTTTTAACAGTTATCTTTAGTTAAAGCTACTTTTCTGTCCCTTCTAATTTCAGATTCAAATTCCTGCCAGTGTCCGTTTTTAGAATCGCGGTTAATGCAAATGAGGAAGAGCGGTACTTAAATCCAAGTTCCACTGACTTCGTTAGATCCACTGATTCTGACTAGCGCGCTTTTACTATTTGGCTACACTCTGTCTTAGGTATTATACTATACTCGGCCCATATTTCAGGCCCTTGATAGCTTCGCCAGTTTAGTTGATATTTAGGGGTCAACTACTTAGAATTTTGATAGCTTGGACTATATCCTTTTAGTTAAGCATTAGTGAAGTTTTATTTCTTATTATTTGAGTTCAAACCCAAGTACAGGCTTTGCTGTACGCTCTGAGAAAGGAGACGACTGTTTAATTCTTATTTTGAAAAATAAAGGGTAATTAACTCTTCTTGGGTTTACGTTTCTGTTTCCTGAGCTAAAGCGATTATTCGCTTACCAGTTCTCGAGATTCCACATACATAGCTTAAGAGAAGTTGTTGGAACTTATAGAATCTCCTATAGTTTCCTTCTGCTGTTAGAAGTCAAGGATGCGAGATACTGTCCATCTACCAGAACATGTTTCTCAATATTTACACTTGAATGGTTTATAGACACTTGGTTTCAGAGCAGAGGTATTTGTGGTAGTGAAATGATCTAATCCTATGAACTCAAAGAAAAAGAATTTTATAATTTCTCTATTTAATAAAGTTTAAAATATATTTATATCTAATAAAATGTCAGTTTTGCTTGATTTGTAAAGTGGAGGGATCAGCTAAAACAAGATTTTTTTATGGATTTTCCCAGTTGCCTTTAACAACCAAAATTATTTACCTTTCCTTTTATGTAGTCCAAACAGATTTAAAATTCTGTTAATTTCAGACTACTACATAACATATTTAATTAGCTCTACGAAGTTCCGTGAAGCCAGACTGCTACATAAGCTATATAATGAGACTAAAAAAAAAGCGTTATTATTGAAGATGACCGGATTTTGGCCGCATTTATTAAATGTTGCTTGTTTCATAGATGGATCTCAATTAAGAGGTACTTTACTTTATTAGATGTTTGTGGAACTATTATTTTTACTTTTTCATTTGGTTTTAAAACGTTAAAACTACGAAAAAAATTGACTTGAATTTCAGCTTCACATAGGATATTCTTTCACATTTTATACACAAAATGCAGTCCTGTTTCCCTGTAGATTAAATGCCATAATGAATACTAACCTGATGTTCTTTTTAAAATGATTTTAATTTGTGTGTTCTTTTTAAAATGATTTTAATATTTGTATTATATAAATGTTTTAAAATTAATTTCTTCATCAATAGCAAAATAACTATTTTTCTTGTTTGACAGGGCCAAGTTTTTCGATGGATGCCGCCTGTGCTTCCTCTGCACTTGCCCTCTGGAATGCATTCCATGACATTCGGAATGGTCGTATTGATGCTGCTGTTGTGAGTGGATGCCAATTATGTTTATCGCCTACTATGGCCATTGGATATATGAAGAGTGGAATGTGCTCTGAAAATGGCAAATGTATACCTTTTGATGCAAAAGGTAAGCATATAATCATATCTACTAGAAATCTTAATGGAGAAATAGCCCTTTCCTCTTGATTGATTTGGTATTAAAGGTTTTCTGTAGTAGATTTAGATAAGGTGTCGTCTCATTGAGGGCATAGTCTCATTACTTATGCTGCAGTAATTGATAGAGTGATTATCGTTACTTGGCCGCCCGATTGTTGTGCCACGTTTCGAGTGCAAAAAAGATCTGGATGTCTGTAAATGTAGTGTTTTTCGGTAAATGCTTCCTTAAAATACACGGTGAGCAGGAAGTCGTCTCAAATGGTTTGGCGGTAGAGGAACAGGGATGAATGTCCTTCAGATGACCTTTTTCCTAGGAAATATCCTTCTTCAGAACTAGGAAGGAATTGGCCAATGTCGTGTTGTCACCTATATGGTATCCAAGACAGACACAATCCTGGACTCCTTGTTACAATAAAATCTATGAGCTTGTTCCGGTGTTACTATGAGATAAATGAGATAAGCCACAACAACAGCATAGGGTGCGCTTTTATTAGTTTTTCTTCGGTCGCAAAACTTAAAGCGCCGAACGTATGATATTGCTTTTCAATCTACTATTTGAATTTTGGTACTTCTGAGACCGCGTCTAAGAATATCTTTTTCCGCAGAATTTACTGCAGCTGTTAATCTGTTTCCGAGTTCATTTAAGTCAAGGAATAATGATAAAACAACAACAACAACAAAACAAAAAAAAAAAAAAAAAAAAAAAAAAAAAAAAAAAAAAAAAAAGAACAAAAAATCTGAAAGGTTTCAGATTTTAAATTACGTCCAAAGGGGCTTTTTTTTTTTTTAACGTTTTGTGTGTTACCTTTATTTGTTAAATATCATGTTATTTGCACTTAAAGCATAAAACTCAGTTCAATAGAAATGTCGCAAAATAATTTTTAAATGAGCATATATTTAGAATTTCCGAAACACAGCTCCACGCGCTGGAGATAAAAAGGTTTCCCCCCCCCCCCGTAGAGCGTAGCCATTGCGCGCTTTTAACACGTTGAGATTGTTACTCAAAATTCGTTAAAGTTTTACAAAATATGAAATCGATAATAAAACGAATTCCAAATTTCAAATTTGGTCTTAAATTTTCAAATTTGGTCACATGCCCATATTCGTAGGAGGATTACGTCATTCAAAATTCGATGGCTCTATGTACTATTGTTTCATCACAATGCGAGGAATATACATACTTTTATGCAGATTTTTCATTATTTATTATTTAATTTCTTGAAATATAATGCAGGACTCTAACGTTCGGTGGCAACAGTTCGAAAAGTAATTCGCCGTTTAGAGTGATTCAACGCAAAATCGCAAAACGAAAACAATAGTCCTTAAGGGACAAAGCCCATTTGGACTAACAAGATTTCTTTTGCATATTCATGAAGAACAAAAGTCACGTACTAAAATTATGCAGATCTTAGGAGTCTTTAGAAGATGTCTTTATGCTATTCTAAGTCTTGCGTTTAGAATTCCTTTGTGGATTCGAAAGCAGACGAGAAGGAAATTAATACTGCCAACGAATTGCATTTGTCAGTAATTTTGAACGTGAAGTGTTTCCCCAAATGTGACTTTTTTCACACAAAAATATTATTTTGATGACCTATTTACATTAAGTGGAAAAAGGAATTTGTAACATAATAATCATAATAATGCATAGTAACATAATAATCTCAGCAATCACAATAATTTATACAGGAGTCTGGAATGGCTTAAAGGTTCTAGCTATCGTTTCAGATATAGAAATGTATTTCAGACGCAGTCAAGAAGATCTCTCCTTTTCTATAACTGTGTAAACGAAAAAGAGAAAGAAATATTCAGCAAAGAGAGCTAAACGTCTTGAAGGCACAAAGGTAAGCATATATCATAAAGTGGTTGTTAAACATTTGAATTAGATAAGGCTATATGCTCAAAGACTGTGTTCTTCTATGTGGTACTTACTATTCAGGGACTGCCGTAAAAAGCGCTTCTGCAGGTGCCCAGATTCATAAAAATCAGATGACATAGTAGTGGGCCAAAGTCTTGTTCATTCACTAAGGCCGATTCAGTCTTTAATAAAATTTCAGACATCAGTTCATCTGGCATGCACTAAAAGAGAACATAAAGAGAGGTATCGTTGTGGTTGTTTTGGATTGATGGTATGAGGCGAGATAATAACTAGTGAACTAAAGGTATCATTACAGGCCAATGCTAGTGCAAAGAATTTACATATAGTCATGTTCCCTTGTTCCGTAGTGCTTCCGGTGAAGCATTTCCTTTTATGGATAGTAAGTTGTTCTTTTTGAGTCTACATTTTATGGAAGATTAGTTGCCAAAACCTCAAAAAGACTGGACTTTTACTTTCCACCCCAGTTTTGAGTAATGAGGATGTTTTTCGATTCGACCAGCTTACATGCTCCTAGGACTTAATCTCGCTGAGTGCATTAGAGGATTATGAAGAAATAAGTTATAGCTGGCAAAATAATTTTGTACTACTTTATTCTATCTTAAGTTAAACATTTTTCTTTTTAAAATAAATAAATAAATAAAAACGCACTGCAAGGTACCTAATTATGATGTAGTCCAAATTATCACTGAATTTTATTTTTAACGGTTTGAGAATTAGTACAGTACTTTTTTATTTTTTAAAATTTCTAATGCAAAATAGCCACTTTAGTTCACACCATGACTGTTTATTTAACCAGCCAGTATTAATGATTTAACCAGTCATGGTGATACTCATGGTAACCAGTCATATTCATGCCTCAATTGTAAGCACAAAAGAAACCTCCTCTAAGTAAAATTAAAACTATGATTATGTTTATTGAATACATCTTTGATTTTCGAGGTAGTTTTTAAGAACGTCACCTAAAGCATGTTATTCCCTTTAGCTGAAGGCATTGTCCGTTGCGAAAGCATCTCTGCATTGTTCTTGCAGAAAGCATCAGTTGCTCGAAGGGTGTACGCCACAGTATCATATGTGTCAACTAGAACAACAGGAGCTGTTGCTGAAGGTAAATAAATTATAATATGTACTTATATAGTTTATACTTTAGCACATAGATATACGTTTTGTTCTGAAATAACTAACATAAACTAAATGCGTAATTTAAGAATTTATATAATTTTTATCGAACTGAAAATAACATTTTTAGAGAGTTTTAACTCATTTAATGCTAAATACAAATAATTTAAATGACCTAAGTTTCAGTTTTATATGGTAGAGACATTTGAAAAACAAAGGAAACAAAAAATGTCACTGACAGAGCAATCAAAGCATTATAAGATATTTTATGTTAATGAAACTATTTTTATAATTTTAAGCTTTATTATAACTTCACTTTTCCACTAGCCTCTCATCAGGAAGCAAATGAGATTGTAAAGTATTTAATTCGAGGGCTTTTGAGTTTTTTTTATAAAGAGAGCTTTTGGCAACGACGCTTGCCTGCCAGTTAATGCCATTCCGGCATTAGCCATTTGTTAGCTGACGCCAAATCGCGCCATTAAAGTTAACGAATTTAGTTTGGACAGATTTGTATTATCTCCGGCTACAATACTTTTAAAGTGTAAATTCAAATTTATATTATTTTGCTACGCGCTAGTGGAAGAATTTTGAATGTGCGCGCGAGTTATGCTTTCTATTCAATTCAAGCTTAAATCAAAATGTAATTTAAAACCTATAGAAGATTTGTAAAGACAGAGCGACACGTTGCCTTTCCGTCTAATAGTGTATGAACTGCAACTGCATTTATACCGCCATCCGTCAATTGAATTACATTCGGGGACTGGCACAAAGTACCAGCTGGAGTCACACAATGACTTTAAACATTCCTTCTGGGCCCAGGGATCCCACAACCCCGAGACACCAACAATTTTAAGGCTCCCTCTTTCCCACCGCTACACACGAGCCATCAGTCAGAACCACAGTCCCGGCCAGACCGAGATCATGGTGGAGTGGGCATGAGACCTTGGAGCGATGACTGGCCATTCATTATGTTACCTGCCAGCACTACACGGGATGCCCCTCTCCTTTACATGTTCTCTCTTTACATGGAATACCAAGGACAGCAGTGACGACACTCTCAATAGTCTAGTTTGCTATTTGGCTACCAATACCCTGGTGGATGAGGACTTACACCTCCCGGCTCATGAAGAGTGAGTATAGGACCTACCCCATGGACCATCGGCAACCGCCAAGTTCATAAATATTATACCCCCGTGGCCTAGACTGCCTAGGTACAGATCCTAGCCAGTGCTTCGCAGAGTACTCTACGTCGACCCCCAGGGGTCGAATAGTATATGAAGTGCTTTCGAGATCCTATCACACAGTTAGTACCCTACGGCTTAAGTCAACGATGTAGAAATGAATATTAGCGCTCACAGAAATGTCACCGGATACAAAATCTGGTATTTCTCACTACTAGTGGAGCAAACTCTTAAAATGGAAGACAAATCAAAGCTGACATCTTATTAGCGAAACGCATAGGGCAATCAATATGCTACTGATGTCCATTTTCTTCTTCTCAGAGAGAAGTGTTTTAGGATGATGTCTCGTGCACTTTCAGTTAGATCCAAATGATCGTGTTCGTTTTCTCTTAACTGATGAGTCAAAATTCAGTTTAAATGCACATGCGAGTGTACATGGAAGATTTAGTTCCCATAACGATTGTTTGCTTGTCTGAAAAGGAATTATGCATGGAGGAAACAGTATGCATTTTTATGACACAAATCGCTACATAGTAAAGTCTTACATCACCAAGTAACCAAGTAAGGCTGTTTAGAGATCTGCAGCTCCAGAGTGTTTCCTGATCAATGTTAATTCTAGAGTTCTATTTTTCTAGTGTATGAGTTATTTTGAACATGGCGAATTAGCTCGATAATATTAGCATACACATAACTCTGCGCTTAATTTCATGAAATATACCAGAGATGTCTTAACCTCGTAGATGCAGCACTTTTTGATCCTCCCCAAACTCTCAAGGCATTCAAACTAGACCCCTTAGAAACGTGAGAGTAACGTTGCATTTTTAACTAGTAGGATTTAATTTTCAATTTAATCAATTTTATGAAAGGATGGTGCAATACCTATATGTTAGTTTTTTTAAATGATACTGGTCTTAGAGGACAATGGAAACATCATTTGAACTTTTAATAATAATAATAATAACATTATATATTATTTCACTCAAATTTTTTATGTGAAGTTTTATAGCCTGCAAATAACATACTTTATTTCTGAAGTTCTTCTAAAACTATAAAAATTCTTTTCGTACATTACAAATCATACTGAATTGCCTGAGTAACCTTTTACGTTTTAAAGTAAAACGTGCATTTTGTATTCCAGGTATTTCCGTGCCTTCTTATAAAGAGGAGGTAGAACTTTTTGAAGATTGCTTGAAAGGTGCTGGAATTACTGCTCAAGATGTAGATTTCGTAGAAGCTCACGGAACCGGAACAGTAGTCGGTGATCCCATCGAACTGAATGCGATTTCATCAGTTTATTGCGAAGGAAGAGAAACGCCTCTTCTCATTGGAACTATAAAGGGGAACGTTGGTCATACAGAGGCTTCTTCAGGTGATCGAATTTAGAATATTTTTTCATACTTCACTCGCTCGCATTTGTATTTCGTAACTTATGTGTATTAATTTATTAGCTTACTCATTCTGCAATAATATTAACTGAATAGATTAAGTATATCTTTTAGACACTAGCTTACCCTTTCCATAATAATATTAACTGAATAGATTAAATATGTCTTTTAAACATTAGCTTACCCTTTTTATTATCGGAAAAATGTTTCAAATACATAAAAGATACGCTGATATTTTAGTGCAGCTAAGATTTTTACCAGTTTAAATTGTTAAGTTTTTCAATAATATTATTACGAATTTTGTACACAGATAATTGATTTTAGTGCGATTATATGTGAGACTGTTGTATTTTTCTGTGTAATGCAACATGAAAATCTGGAGACACGATGCTCTGCAGGAGAAGTAAGAAATACAGGGGCAAGTCTATTTAACACTGAGTAAATGGTTATCTCACCTATTTGGCGAGATATCGTCAAGCTCGCAACGGCTTCGGCGAATAATTTTTGTCGCCGAATTTGGCGAGAAATAGACAAAAAGTCGCTAAATTTGCCGATATTTCGTTCCGGTACCTGTATAATATAATGAGTATAGTAACTGAATAACTTTAATTGATCCTCTGTGTAGCTCGAACTGTACAAGGCCTTTATATGCTTTCCAGTAATTTCGAGAAGTATTTCTCGGCAACCGAGGGAAAGCTACACAAGACCGGAGAGAGCATCTGCTCTCAATCTTTCTTGGTAGTTAGTTCAGTGTGAGTTCGGAATACGGAGATATATCCGGGTTCTCTTCGCTCTTTAGATGCGCTTTGTACTGCTTTCTGTTTAACGTTCTCAATAGATTAAAAAGGAACTATTTATTATTGTACTCTGTGATACTGTGAAGAGCTGTAAGACTATTTTTGTGGAAAGTGCCAGTTTCCTCCAGAACTCTGAAGTGTTTCTTTAGATAAGATAAATTGTCGTTGTTGTTACATATGGCTTTTTCGGAAGGATCAATCCAAACATATAAAACAGCTCAAGAATCACACAAGAACAATGTTATATAATAAAAAAGAACAAACATTTAAAGTGAGAACCAGAACAAATGAACATGGGGACAAAAGTAAAAAGTTAAAATAACAAGGAAAGGATCATAAGATATATAGTCTTCACAAGGAATTCATGAAACTTCTGGTATTCCAGTATAGTTTTTTTATCTTACCACGTTTCAGTTGTGGGCATGTAAGATGCTCTGCATTCATAATGCCCGAATTACAAATCTGGCATATACTAGATGGAAGGATGGCAATTTTATTATGATGATGTGCCATGCAATCTTAATCTGTTTGCAGTCTGCAGTTTGCCACAGCCTCTTTACGTGGTTTTTTACAAAACGTTTTACAAAAGTGTCTTGAACGTTAGCCCAGGATTTGCCTGTTGATTTTCCTGCCTGGTCAGTATCCATTACTTTCTCAAAAATATGCTTTCTAAGTGACTCTGGAGGAAGTGGTTTGCTGTCTTGTGGCTCAAATAAATATTAATTTAGAAGTCAAACAACCGTTATATTTGCAAATTTTCACATGAGTAGTTTCGATGGTTTTACCGAACCATTCTTCTCAGTTGCCAAAGTGCAAATGAACGTGATAAGATATAGTGAAAAGATAAGATAAGAATGGCTGGACAGGATTTAAGCTACTAGAGCCGTCTATTGGTGAAACAAGAAAACTAAAACATAATTTTCTTAAGGTATCTGCCTACGTTAAAAAAACGATTTCGGCGAAAAAATTCGATTTTTTTATTGCCCAATTTGAAAGGTCAATTTTGTAGGATTCCAAAAATGGTTCATTTTTACGTTTGTGATAATTAGAAGAGAAGGTATAGCCAATTAACTGCACTGGAAGTGAAAGCAGAAAGACCGGAAGTGCCATTTAAAAGGCTCAACTTCTTAAAGGTAAACAATATTGTTATCCGTGTTTTTTCTTAACCTGTTTGTGTGTAAAATTGTGCTAAAACATATTCATTTTAATTCTGGGTACTTATTTTTTTTGTTTCTGGCAATTAATTATTTGCCTTTAATTCTTTTTGAACTAGGGACTGGCAACATTGCGGTTTTTTTAACTGGGTCTGGCAACATTGCGATTAGGTATAAAGACTATGTTGCTGGGTGCATATATAGTAGCCGTTTTAAGTTTTTAATTTCAGGGTATCTTGGATTACTTCCTGTCTGTTTTGAACATTTAGGCATATCAATTGAACAAGAAATGATTAAAATTACTTTGAAATTGATAACGAAAGAATAAAGAACTCGAAACTTCATTCGTCGCTCATTTCGAAATAGCCAGAAAAAAATTAAAATCAAATAGGAAATCAAAATTACTTAAGTATAAAGATATGGAGGGTGTGATGTACAAATGTGGAGAATTTTAAGTGTGTAAATACAACAGAACAGTTTTTCTGTTTAATGTGAAATCTTTAAATGCGTTTTCTGAAAAACTAATTTTTCTAGTGTTTTTACATACAAGAAATGTAATTACTCAAAATGTTCTAAAGATATCTCTATTAAATTTCACTAAAATGTTTTCTATATTATTTATTAGGTTTTAAGCTACAATCTAAGTAATATTTATTAATTTGATTGTTTTATAAGTATTTCTATATAAAACGATAAGAAATATTTTACAAAAAAAACTGTGTTTTTTTTCATGTAATTACACATATTTTAGTAAATTTTAGAAATATCATATACATTTTAGTTCATAACACAGATAAGTGTTGTAGTAGTATACAGTATAAAAAAATTGAAATATATGCTGTGAGAAAAAATATACGGCATTTAACGTAAGTGTTAAATTCTCCTAAAAATTTGCATAAAATTTCATATATTTCAAAAATTTATAAAAATATTCCTAAAAATGTACCTATTTTCATGATTTGATATCATATTTTGACTAAATAAATATATATTTCATCAGAATTCTATGTTTTTTAAAAAAAGTGCTCCGAACGTAGGCAGATACCTTAAAGCCTAAGTTAAAGATGGATTGGAATTAGGGTCGTTAAATAAAACGGAAAGATTTTTTGAATGTGAAACGCCTCTAGAAAATGTACTTCGCCAATGGAAGATACTTTTTTTGAATAATTTTGCCTGCAGAAAAATGGAAAGTGGGATTTTTGGACCAACAATGCTGGGCAACAGTGGATTTCTGTGTTTCCTTTTTTCCTAACATATGCCTCATGTTTTTTATCGCAAAATTTTAAGGTTCTCTTATTATTATGATTCAAAATTATTTGAAACTTTAAACTTCCCGGTATGGTTCCGCTACGTAGACGATACTTTTAACCTGTTTGACGGAAATAAAGATGATTTAAATAAAGTTCTTTTAATAATGAATTCTATTGATCCTGCTATTCATTTCACTTTTGAACGAGACATGCAATTCTCTTCCGTTCCTCGGCATTTTGGTCACCCGTAACACATCCAATTTCAGTATTACGATTTACCATACACTTTCATCGGTTTGCCTTCCACCACACTTCAAGTCATGTCATCCGACTAAACAAAAATTAGCTTCATTTATTTCTTTGTTTTCCATGCACTCGAAGTTTGCTCCTCCAAATTGGCTCTTGATCAAGAATTAAATTATTTAAAAGCAGTAGCTATTGACAGGGGCTTTTCACCCGCATGTTCTCATCATGCCACCAAGCATGTTTGGTGTGTTTGAGATGAGAACCAAAAAAGTTCTCATCTCAAACACACCAAAAAGGCACACTCTTGTTTTAGGAGATTATAAGAATTATGTTGCCATTCCTTTCTTTCCATCAATTAGCTATAAAACTGTACGTATTTTACAGAAATTTAACTTCTGGGTCGTATGCCTTGCCAGTTTGTTTTGGTTCACATTGATCAAACTAAGAAAGCCTTAAAATTTCCCTTTAAGGAACATGAGGCATACATTAGGAATAAAGAAACACAGAAGTCTTCTGTTACCAGAATTGTTGGTTGGAAATCACATTTTCTATTTTTTTCAGCCAAAATTATTAAAAAAAAACAGCTTTCATTGATTAATTAGATTTCCTAGAGGCATTTCTCATTCCAAAAAGTCCTTCCGTTCTAGTTACGATCCTAATTCCAATCCATCCCTACCTTCAGCCTTTAGGACATAGCCAATAGATGGCGCTATTTGCTTAACACCTATTCAGCTGTTCTTATCTTATCCTATCACTATATCTTATCTTGTTTCTTTTCACTTTGGCAGCCTGCGGATGAGGGCTCCGTAGAAACTAGTCCTGTGAAAATTTGCAAATATAACGCTGATTTTTGTTGTTTGACTTCTAAATTAGTATACCTGGTATTTGATATCAATATATTCTAAGAGATTAACCATGACCATGTTACAATTCATTCATTTGTTTTTATCTATATATAGTAATAATTCCTCTCAAGCCTCTATTGGAAACATTCGGGTCTTCATGGTACTTCGTTCATGGTTTCGGTCATCCATTGCGCTCTATGCGATGCTTTCATTTTAAACGAATGTACCAACTGCTTGTTTCTTGGTTTCAGTAGCAATTGGTGGGTTGGAAGTATAGCTTTGCATAGCTTTAATCGAGGAAGTTTTCACCGCTCCTGTGATGATCCGAAGAGTTTTGCTTTGGGTCTCTTCAAAGAGCCAATCTTCCCTTGCATGGTAGAGATTAAAATCTCACTTCCCTATTTGAAAATGGGTTTAATATAACTGTTGTAAGTTTTATTTAGGGTAGTCTGTGAATTTCTCCATTTGGTACCGGCTAGTCTTTTTAAAATTAGGGATCTCTTCTCTACTATTTCTATAACAGTATGATTAGCAAAAGTTTAATTTCTTGTCCAGTGTTACACCTAGATATCTGGTACTAGTGCTTTTTTGAAGAATAGCTTTGCCTATTTTTAATTCCATGTCTGTGTTCACGTGTCTGAAAGAGAAGAAATGGTAATAAAATAAATTTTACCAACCTGTCATGTGACCTG